ATAAGACTAAACTAAAAGATAAACTTAATCAAAAACTACTTAAAATTCCAAAATAAAATCAATTTAACATGTTAAACTTGACATTAAACCAAAAGAAATCTCAAATAGAAACTAGAACACTTAAATCGAACTGAGAGAACTTAAATTGAACCAAAAGAACTTGATTTTTATTAATTATCAGCACTTGTATTTATATAAAAGAAAATTAATTATAATTTTAGTAGTTAAAAACAAGAATTTGAGCAAAAAAAAGTATTATAAAGAAAGAAAATAATAGTACAAACTTAATTATAAATAATTATAACAAAGAAATTAAGAAATACAAAGAATAATTATAATAAAAGTGAAAAGTAAAATAAAATAAAATAAATATAAGAATAATTAATAAAATTAAAAATAAAAATAAGCATAATAGAGATATAGATAAGATAAATCAATAACAAAAATATAAATTTTAGAGTAAAAAATACAAAAATAAATAAATTTAATAAAACAGTAAGTGAAAATAAAATAAAAAGTGTACAAAAATATAATTATTATTAAGTATTTTACTTTAGATATTAAAAAATAATGATATATATATATATTTGCAAATAATATTAAAATAGTAAGTAGTATTAAGTTTATTATTTAATTCATTTATAAGTTCATTAAGTAAAAAAAATTAGTTTTCCAATATAACTTATTATAATATATATTTATTATAATTGATTAGTATTTTTGGTCAACCAGGATATTTTTTAGAATATAAAAAATTAATTTTATAATAATATTTGATATTATAAATTATTATTTGAGAAATTTGGAATTTAAATACAAGTTTTTAATCTTTAACACCAGTGAGATGAGCACCAATTATTTGTTTTCTTTATTTATTGATCAATTCCTTTTTACATATTATTAAAAAAAGAAAAAACAAGTTTTTATATGTGTATTTATATAAATAATATCAATAAATTGATTTTTAAACTTTTGATTGATAATTTATATAATTAATTTCTGGTAATTTATTATAAAAATATATATTTCATTAATTAAAAATCTTTTTCTGAAAAATAATTCAGATACATTTTGATTGATAATGTTTAATTCACAGTTGTTTTGAATTTCATTTTTTTTTTGCTTCATGTTTTTATTGTTTTTGTTTTCTTTCAATTATTATTCTTTTTTTTGCATTCAAAAGATGAAGATAATGTTAATTACAAGAATATCTTGTGATAATTCATATTTATTGGAACTTAATTCATTAAAGTTTTGTAAAATGTAATAAAAAACATATATTCAAAGAGATCAAATACAAATCTGCAGAGTCAGTTACCAAGAGAAAGATTTCCTATATATATGTATCTCAAGTAACAAACAAAAGAAAGATCTTGAAAGATAGAAACAGATCCTTAAACCCAGATTCACAAATTATGAACTTGTCAATGATGTTGGATCAAGTATCAACCTCAAAAGAAATAAACTTAAGATCTTACTGGAATGATCAAGTAAAGGAATAATCTCAAAAGTTGTGGTTATCCATTGTAACGAAGGTGGTTGAGATATCATGAAATATTATAAATAAGCAATTCATTATATCATTTATCGATAAATATTACTAATTAAAAATTTTAGCGATAGCGCTTCCAATCAAATCGGGTAATTAGCAGAAAGTCAATTGTAAAACCGAGTGATGTACAATGAAATATCTCGTTATCGCATTGAGTATCAAATAAAGTATGTAATCGCGATTTTTATGTCATCATCACAGAGTCTATCATTATCACGTGGCGCTTATATGTCAGTTGATGGAAAAACAAACAAAAAATCAAAAAATCACTGCTTTAAATTTTGATGTCCTTCCATCGCTTACCTAGTATATTGTCTAAAACCGCGAGGCCAAATAAAATATCTTTTTACAAAGGCAGCTAAATCATTTCGATTGACCGAGCAAATTAATCAGGTCTTTCGCTTTTACATTGGGGGGTGTATAGGTCCACTGTTAAAAGTATTAGTCGAAAAACTTTGCGTCTCAACCCTTTTTCTTTTTGACAGAAAGGTAAAAATAAATGGTTCACGCGACCAGTTCTGCTACTACCATTACGCAACCTAGCATCATGGCGGCTAAAAAAGAAACCGAAAAAAAACCCGCCAGGAACTCCATTAGCACCTCAGTAGTGCAGCAACAACCGAACACTCAGCAACTATCAACACTACCAGCACCTGCTCTCCAACCGTCTAGTTTCACCGGCCAGAGCTCACTTTCCATTTCGCGGAATAAACACTGGAAATATATTTCTTCGTACCATGGTCCTTGGCTTCAACTTCCCCTCGAGTTGCTTGATTCGCTATATGTTATCAACACCGATAACGTTGCTACACCACCGCCTCCCATTGACCCTATTATTTTCGGAAATTTGATATCAATTCGTCGTCTAGTTGACGAAGCTGCTGACTTGTCTGTACGTGCTGCTTCGGGAATTTCAACTTCTGGTGGAAGTATGAGAAATACAATGTCTCATACGCGACAGCATAGAATGCGTGAACTTGCTGTAAACAAATTGGCGCTCGCATATCGAATAGATGAGATAGCTACTGCAGTAGTGACTATGCAGTCGGCGAGTGCTATTGATGAAGTAGCTAGTAGAGTATTAAAGAAGAACGCAACAAATTTGGAGGCCCTATATGTGAATTTTTTTCATGAAAAAATCCCATCGAGGTAAATAGAATTTACTATGTTCATTCTAGTTTGATCAAGTTGTTTTATGCAACACGTATTTCGCTTACAAAGATAGGAATCCGCGAAAGAATCAGAGTTTCGAATAAAAATAATTTTCTAGCCTTTGGATCCAACCTAATACTCTGCCCAAATTTGTCCCTTACACATTACAAGTAGAATGTTGTCGCAATCTACATCCACGGAAGTATTAGATCAGATCATTGCGGCATCCCCAAATACGCCTGAATATTATCGCACACGTGGTGTTGTCAAATGCTTTAAAGAGGAATTCGCTGGTGCACTTCGGGATTTCAAAACAGCGCTTGCACATATTAAGCACAAAAAACGGGTGAATAGCGTTCTTATGGGTAAGAAAGTAACAAGCCCACTGCATCATCATCATGGCAAGGATTCGGATGAGTGTACAGGCACGGAAAGTCAATTATATTTTCTGCGGGCAGCTTGTTACCTTCAATATGCAATCAGTGTGGTAGACAAAGTTATCCAAAAAGTTGACAGTGCTGAACGAAAAGAAGCTGATGGAAAAGGATCATATAACGGAAAAAAAGATGGGGCTTCGATTCAAGCACAAATACCGAAAATTGAGCAGTATCGACAAGAATTTCTGCCGATAGTACATCAAATGCAAACTATGGCAAGACGTTCTATTCGAGATTATAACCATTTTCTATCATTTTATCCAAGTCCATTGCCACCATTTACGGTAGCCAATGATGAGACAGCATCGTCAAAGGCTAGTAGTCCTACCATGTCTCGCGAATCTTCTCCTAATCGAGGAATCCATTTTAATGTTCACACTACAAATGAAAATGAAAATGATAACGGTGTGAATGGCACACAATTAATTGATCACGGTACAAAAAATGAAAACGGTTCGTCTGTGGTCAATTGTGGTTTGGAGGTAAAAGATCAAACCCCTTTTCATAATCATCATGGTCACGATTACCATAGTCACCATCATCATAATCATCACCATCATCATTACCATCATCATTTTCATGGATTTCAGCCGCCTCATTCATACGCCACGTATCATCCTCTACTTATTGAGGCATGGTATGCGATCGCATTGAATTACATCTTACTTGGGGATATTCACACCGCTGCTTTATGGCATGCTCGGATCTCCGAGTTGCATGAATGTATTGAAGGATATCCAGTTTTCCTGCCAGCGAGATCTATGGCCCAGGCAGATTACATGGAAGTATTAGAAAGGATAAAGAAAGCAACTAATTTAGTTCAGCATGAAAAGTTGAAAGAATTAATCAATGTAGTGAAACAGAAAGAGAAAGAGAGAGAAGAAAAAGAACGTGAATGGCTTGAAAAACATCATCATCACAAAATGTTGTTAGCTGCGGCCGAAGTAGAAAAAGAAAAGGAGCGAGAAAGAGAGAAAGAACTTGCGACTGGAAAGAAATCCAATGGAAAAGTGAAAAGAAAACCTAAGGATCTTGGAACTGTGAATGGACGAAATGGAGGTAATAATTCTATTGGTCCAGTTATCGGCATAGATGGACATAAGCATCATCCATGTTGCCCGCTTGCCCCAGGTAACCATAGTCCTCCCGTTAACAAAGACGCACTTGCTATTTCCGCATCCTCTTCTCCGTCTTCCAATTCCATCTCTTCGGTATCTCCTTTAAATACCACTGCCACACCCAATTCTGGTATTACAACAATTGCTACTGCTGCCGCGGCTGGATCCAAGAATTATCCGTTACACACAGCAAGATCAGAATCCTGTTTAATCTTTTTGAGAGCCATTGTTTTACGACCAGATAAGGATATGGTAGTTTCCAATAATGGCTCCTCTTCCGGTAAATTTGGACGCAAAGCAATTGATTTTTTTCCCTTAATTTATTGATCTTTATTTATGCTTTTATATTTCGCTCTTGAATTCTTGACAGCGAGTCTGATGAACGGTAAAAATTAAGGGACAATTGGTTTGCTCTTTTTATTGATTTGAAATGTGATTATTGCTTTTTTATTTTATAATATATATCAGTTCCCATTGGGAAAAAAACGAATTAAGCTAAATTTTGGCGACATGAAAATGCACATCCTCATAATGGGGGATATCATAAATCTATTCGTTGAATTGGAAACAATAAAAATCTCGATCCATAGTTACTATTTAAGTACAACATCGTTCTGAATGCTTTTACGGGTATACTAAATAAGCAAATAATACAATAATTTACAAAAACTTTATTATAAAACAAAGAATCAATTCCTCTAGTTTCTCGATTTGATGAGTATATTTGGGGAGGGGGATAATGTCTAATTGAAAACACATTCACTCAATTTTTTTAAGTAGAATTATGTTTTTTCAAGGCGTTTTCTATAAGAAAATCGTATTCGTTACTTTCTTCACATAAACTTCGGAATAAACTATTGGGATCTTGTAAAAGGTTGTATGGTGTATCAAATTCTGCGACTTTGCCTTGCTCGAGTACAAGAACCTAAAATTTCCAAATTGTGCAAGTTCACAGGTTACTTCATTTAGAACCTTAATAAATGTCTTGCAAGTGTTACAGTAACAAATAAATAACTAACCCTATCATAATCAATAATTGTTCGTAATCGATGTGCAATGCACAATAATGTCGCCCAGCTGAATTCAGTTCGAATAGTTTCTATGTTGAAGTAAACAAAATTCAAAAGTCATTAGATTGAAATTCAAAAAAGACTCGTCGTCTTCATTGAGAGATGTATACCTTGTATATGAAAATCTGTTTCAACATCTACACTAGCAGTGGCTTTTATTATAATTACAAAAATATGTTAGATATATGCAAAATAATAAACTCTATAATATATAGATCGGCAAATTACAAACCTTCATCCAAGACAATAACAGATGACCGTCTATTAACAAAAAGAATGTAAATAACATTTTAAATAACTATTACATATTTAAAGAATAGCAACAAACCGTAAAAGAGCTCTAGCCAAACATAATAATTGTCTTTGTCCTTGGCTAAAGTTATCTCCGCCTTCAAGTATTTTAGCTTGGAGCTTGCCCTCTAATTTGGCAATATATTCTTTGAGATGAGCACTTTGAAGAACTTGCCATATCTCCACATCATCATGAGTACCAAAAGGATCGAGGTTGAAAGCAACAGTTCCTTAATAAACTAAGGAGATTAACTTTTTTTATTTATAACAGGAATTATTTGATAAGCGAATTTCAATTCACCTTCAAAAAGGACCGGATCTTGAGGAATGATTGTTAGTCGTGAACGTAGATTATGTAATCCGATCTTTGAAATATCTATACCATCCTGTTAAGAGAAATTATCATGTTTTAGATGCTAGATTATATCAAAAAACAAGGCCTGCTTTTGTGTTAGCAATAATAAATTGCTTACCACATAGATAGCACCATCAGAAGCTTCGATTAGTCTGAATAAACTGAGAGTAAGACTTGATTTTCCAGCACCTGTTCTTCCAACAATGCCGATTTTTTCTTTTGGATTAATGACAAAAGACACACCCTAATAGCGAAAAACGTTAAGTTTGCGTAGCGTAGTGTTTGAATTCAGAAAGCATATTCTAAATGAGTCAATGAAATTACCTTTAAGATCAATTCAAGACCGGGACGATAACGTGTAGCATAATCTTTATATTCAATTAATCCTTGTTGTGGCCAAGCGGGTGGAGGTCGATAATCAGGGATAGTCTCGGGAGCTTCACTCGGAAGGTCAATATACTTTTATTATGGAATGAGACATATTGAATAAAAGAACAAAACAAATAAACAATAAATTATTCATGAATTTTCACCTCTTTTGCTCGTTCTACTGAGACGATATTTGTCTACCAAATTAATAAATATTAAAAATAATTACAATCAGCAATAATATTATTATTAGGATCAACTTTATAATAAAATATGCACCTCAATTTCGCAAAATTGTCTTACAGCCCAATTCAAAGCCTGGGTTACCATTAAAGCATATGAAACAGATAACCCCACAAGGCCTGCATCAATATTTCCCGTTGTGATCAATTTTATCACAGAAAGGATAGAAGCCCCAAAAATGATAAGAGACCCTATTATGAAATGAAAAATGAAATTAGACCAAAAACCAAAGATAATATTATCTCAACTATACGATTGACAACTAACTAATGAATAAAAGAACCAACCTAAAAACTCTAACCGCACTGCCAGCCATCTGTTACAAGAGATAGATGGAAAATATGCTTTTTGATTTTCGTCTAATCGATATTCATTTTCCTCAATGAATCGGTCCTGTTGTTGATAGGCCCTAATAGTTGAAACACCTCCAAGTGTCTCTTGGAAATGGGCGTAAATCGGAGATCGGGTAACAGAATCTAACCGTTTTAATTCTCGTGAGGTAGCGAGATAATATCTTTGTATATAGTTATAGAGAAAAACTAGCAGTAATTGGATAAGAGATTAAATTAATATATATGCTATATTTGTAAAATAATCTAAACAAGATATTATAAGCACATACGCATTGGCACAATTAACAAAATAAAGGATGGCGTTGAAAAGCAAATAACCGAAATTGTTGCAAGAACCATAAATAGCGTTCTAAAATAACCAGCAAATGTACGAGGAAGAACTTCATCGATAGTATATTGATCCTTGCTAAATCGATTCAAAATACGACCTAATGGAGTAGTGTCCTATAGCATATATAGCAAGATGAATTAAAAGCTTATAAACAGTAAAAATAATATGACAGCTTAACATAGTTTTATGCTTACGAAGAATGACATTGGGGATCTTTGCAAAAAAAGCAAATATATATAAATAATGAAACCATGAAAATCAATACGAAATAAAATATTAATAGAATTCACCTCACTACACTATTCAACATTTCTTGATGCAATCTTCGTGCGGCTCTATTTTACACACCAAATATTAATAATTCGATAAAAATTTCTTTAACATTGGGAAATTTAAAAAATGATATTAGCTTACTCACCGAATCGCACAAAATACCCATAATACAATAGTTTGCAAAATCGTCGTGAAAGAATAAACTATTCCAATCAAACCATAAATTCCCAAATAAAGGAAAATATTCACATTTTCTCCTCTTTTCTCGTTTTCAGAACTCCAAAATTTAAGAAAATAATTTGAAGCTAGAATACAAACATCATTAATTTGTTACTAGAATGAACTCATGTTAATATTAATTTTCTGACACATATAATAATTCACACTTACCGACTTGAACTCCTTGCGAACCGATCATCAAAAATAAAAATATTGTAACAGCGATGGATGATGAAGATGTTATGTAGACTTTATAGACAGACCATGGTACACTTCCTGTAGCCGACTCTTCTCGCACAATTAAAGATTCTTTACCAAGTTCAACTCCAAGTTTTCTAGATTTGGTATCTGCCATGACTGGTCGACTAAGAGTAGCAACGCTAAGTCGTCTTTCTCGAGGAGGACGTGTAGTTTCTTCATATTTTGGATCACCAACGGAACCATCCATTTCATATGCTTCAATTAAGGTTTGACTTTTTATCGACGATGTTTCATCTGACTGGTCAAGTTGATCAGATTGATCTTGTTGACCAAACTCGCTAATTAGATTGTATAGTTCTTGTTTATTTTGCATTAGAGATTCGAAATCCCCTTGTTCAATTATTGTTCCATCTCGCAGCATGACAATTGAGTCCGCACGAGAAAGATTGTGTATGCCATGAGTAACAAATATACGAGCCTTAGTACGAAGAAGACCATTAGGCCCAATTACTTGATCAAATATGTGTTTACCTAGATTATAAAGATTTTTAGTATATGAAATAATTATTTTATATTACGATCCTAGAAGTTAACTTACCGACATGGGCATCTACCGCTGACAATGGATCATCTATAAGAAATAAAAAAGATTTAAGAACCCATTCAAAGAGTAAAAAGACTGTCGAATGCTTACCGAATAAATATATATCAGCACGAGAATATGCTGCTCTAGCTAATCCAATTCTGGCCTTTTGTCCTCCTGACAAATTAATTCCTCGTTCACCGATTTCTGTTAAATCTCCCCCTGGAAGCATGTCAATATCAGGCTTAAGGGCACATGCCTCAATTATTTCTTATTAAAAAGGAAATCATTTAAGATGTAATAGAATATGAAAAGGAAATAAAAATAAAAATGGCACTCTAATGGCTTACCATCATAAAATTCTTGTTCAAATTGATAACCAAAAGTAATATTGTCACGAAGACTAGTATTCATTATCCAAGCTGAAATTAAATATAATGATATAAATTTAACTATGAAAAATATTATTTAAGCACAAAATGAATTACCTGACTGAGCGACATAAGCCACAGTACCCCTAACAATGACCTCACCACTACTTTTCTCCATCTCTCCAAGAAGGGCAGAAAGCAAAGATGATTTCCCAGCACCTGTTAATTATTTCTTACATGATTACTAATTCTGTTCTTTTAAAAAAAATCTGTAACGAAAAATATAAAAATTACAAACCAACTCTGCCAACTATCGCAACCAATTTGCCCTTGGAAACGCTGAGATTAATATCTCTTAAAATCGGTTCGGGAGAATCTTTTGACCAGCGGAATGTTGCGTTTTTTATAGATACAAGTTCTATATCACTATTTCCAGTGCTGAAATTTTCTAGCGTATGATGATAATCTTCATGTTTGACTGCGTTCTGATCTACTTCTTCGGCAGTTAAAAAATTTTCCATTCTGTTCAAAGCAACAGATGCTTCAATGGTTGAAGTGATGACGCTAGGAAATACTGAGAGGGGAAATTGAAGCAAATTGAAGAGTGATAATGCTACAAATACTCTTCCGCTAGTCAGTGGCTCGTCAGAAATTAAAACGAAAACCGAGAAAGTAGCAAACGAAACAAGAAAAGGCTAAATTATATAGAATGATTAGGGTAATTATTATAATTATTATATAAATATAAAGTAAAATGATATTCTCTTACTGTACAAGCCCAGGTAAAACTTTGAATTGAGGCAAGGTAAGCTATTTTTTTCAATGTGTCAAGTTCAAGTGCATCTCGGATATGACCAATCTAGTATAAAAATTGATCAAAAAAATAAATTCGATATTCTTTTCTTAACATTATTTAATCCAATAAAACACAAGAGTAATTTACCTTTTTCAAGAAAGCTCCTTCCCAAGCATATAATTTAATTACTTTGATGCCATTCAAAATTTCATTCATCAGTCTGATTCTCTGATCTTTATTTCCCATCTGTTTCTTTTGCAGAGTTCGCATTCTTCTCGCGAGGAATCCATTCACAGGTATCGTCAAAATCATTGCAGCCACACCAGCAAAAATACTGACCCCCATAGTCTTATACAAGAAACAAAGGGCAAGACTAATTTGAAGCGGTCCAGACCAAAGTATATGAAAATATGTGCACAAGTCCATGAATTTCTGAGCATCCACGCTCATATGATTTACAATTTCGCCGACAGTGGATTTTTGTCGAGCTGCATTTGAGAGACGAAGTGCTTTCTGATAAATGGCTGTTACCAGTCCAGCGCGAAGTCGCATTCCAGTAACGATACATAGCTGGAAATATTGATGTAAAAGGATGGTCTGGCAAATAGCAGTGAAAAACATCAAACAAGCAATGAGGATACCCCTATATGCGTGAGGTTTTTCTGTTTTAGTTCCATAGCTGCTGACAAAATCCATCAATTGACTCAAGAGTAAAGGTTGAGTAAAGCCTAATATATCCTGAGATGCCTTAAATATTGCAGCGGAAAAGAATGGGCCGCCAAAAGTCGTAACACAAGCCCGAAGTAATGAAGGATTTTTCTTTGCTAGTTCCTTTTTCCAGGCTACTTCAAATTTTCTTGACAATAATGTAGATTGATCTTCCTTTTTTAATTCCCACAAATCTTCGAAAGTTAAATATTTGGAATAGCCAAGCTTCATTAACGGAGTCATCCAGTAAAAAGTGAGTCGAGAGAAAATATTTGCTGTCTCTTCAGGACAAACGTTTTCCTATATTGTATATATAATATTACTATTAAGAATGTTATGGATTTAATATTTCTAGTGATGAAAAAACTTACATTTTCTTCTCCACCCAAGTATTCATATTCACTTTTAGGCTTTGGCAAAAGCTCCAATACAAAAAGAATCGCCATCAAAGTAATCGATGAAACCGAAAAAACGAACAGATCGAGATGGGTAGATCGATAATTCATATAAGACCATGTTCGTAACTTTATAAAGTTCGCTGTAGTATAAAATAACCAGTACAATAATAAGACTGATGAGGAAATTCGATTACGTATATAATTTTGATATTCAATTATCGATACAAATATCTAAAAAAAAAAAAAAAAATAGAAAAACCATTCACTTATATAGTCTGTTAATAAAGACATAAAGATAGATTCGATAATAAGCGAAAGATTAAGCTCACCACTGCAAGCACGTTTACAGCCGCAGAAACCACCTGAATATCCAATAATGGTACACCTAGTTTTAAAGTGGTAGATAAAAAAATCGCCAAACTGGTAACCAACAGTAAGAAAAGTGCGACCTGTCAAGCAATTAGTCCCAAATAAAAAAGATATTTTCAGTCAATATTAATTTTTAGGAAATTACTAGTGAATAACTTGAATAAATACCGAGATCGTAATAAAGTGCCAATTCCGCAATCCGTTAGTCGGAATCACAGGCCGCTTTTTGGATAAACGGTAAAGCTCAAATACACCAAAAAGGAAAAGGAAGCAATTAATTGGAGTGACAATTCCCCTTGATATAATTAAAGAAATATTAATGAAAAATTTCATAAATAGTTGGTTTATTCGCAAAATATTTCGGTTATTACAGTAAAAAAAAAAAACAAAAATAGCTTGATTTAAGTATATAAAATTCAGTTTGGCGTTTGCTTAACCAAATATCTAGTAAATTCATAAATAATGTACCCTTCCTCAAAACAAAGAGTAAAGTCGAGTATACGTGTGGAGCTCGTTGGGCCCTACATGAATTTCATTATACATCAAGTGAATTACTATAGTGAGTTAATGTTCTAACATTCGAAAATAAACTATAATAAACCCTTTGTAAGATATTAAGAAAAACTGACCCAGCCTTCCTTTTCATGGCAAAAAGAAGAGCTAGACATTGATAAAATTATTCCGAAAGACGAGCGAACAAATCTTATCTTAAATTGGTGATCAGCGCGCTAAAAAATGGATACTTCATACGTATTACGACTATTACGTTCAATTAAATCACGTGAGATATAACTAATTAAAATTTGGGAAAGTCAAACAGTGCTTTGCATTTTATCATGTCTTCAGACGTTGCTCAACGCCTTGCTGCAATCGGTTCCATTGCCTCACAAAAGGATAAAACTATCGAATACAGAGCATTACTAGACACAATACTTGTCGGCTCAGAAACACCAAATACTGAGGATATAACAAAGAATAATCTACTTGCCACAAATTTGGAAACTTTTGTAGACTATATAGTCCAAGAACATGTCGGTTTGGTAATTTCGCGTCAGGTACTGACTGACTTTGTGCAAGGTGTTGGAAAAACTGGGAATAATGAAGTAAAGAAACGCGTATTGCACTTTTCCTTATCGAAAATTCAACCGCGTGTTGTTAGTTTTGAGGAACAGGTGTGTTTGCTTCTCTAGTTTTGCAGTTCATTGGAAGCTTAGTTGAGGCAATTGTATGATTTTAGTGTTATTGCCTTATTGATTTTTTGTAAATGTCTAAAAGATTTCAACTATTCGTGAGAAATTAGCCGAGATTTATGAAATTGAAGAAGACTTTACAGAGGCAGCACGAGTACTTCAAGGAATCCCATTAGATTCTGGTCTTCGGTATGTTTTTTTTTAACTCTATCAAATTCCCTATATTATTTCATAATTCTTCTGATTGTTTTTAATTAAATATAATTTTATTATTCACAGTACTATTGCTGATGAATATAAGCTTTCAATTTATATCAAAATTGTCCGTCTTCTATTGGAAGAAGATGAAGCTGTTTCAGCAGAGACCTATTTAAGTCGTGCCTCTTTATTAATCCCAGGCTGTAAAGATCAAGAAATTAATTTGACTTTTAAGCTCTCTCAGGCAAAGATTTTCGATTTCAAGCGACGATTTCTAGAAGCAAGCTCAAAGTATCATGAATTAAGTTATGTGACAGAATTAGCCCCCGAAGAGAGGACACTTGCTTTGTAAGTCTAGTTCTACTATATCATGTTTCTGATTTATAATTATAAAAATTCAAGTTATTCTGATTTTCTGTATTTTAAATAGAAATGCAGCCATTACATGCGCCGTATTAGCTGGAGCTGGTCCTCAACGTTCACGAATGCTTGCTACCCTATATAAAGACGAACGTGTACAGCGCCTTCCACATTTCTCAATCTTGGAGAAAATGTATTTGGATCGTGTACTTCGTCCGTCTGAAGTAAAAGATTTCGCCGAAACTCTTAAAGAACATCAACGTGCTATTCTTGCCGACGGTACAACTGTGCTTGATCGTGCAGTGATTGAACATAACTTACTGTCCGCTTCACGTCTCTATAATAACATCACATTTGAAGAACTTGGCACGTTGCTTGCAATCTCACCCGATCAAGCAGAACAAATAGCCAGCTCTATGATTGAGCAAGGTCGAATGCAAGGTACCATCGATCAAATTGAACGTTTGATATTTTTTGAGACTGCAAATACGGCGGGCGAAGGTAATGATGATGTACCCACGGGTGTGTTGGGAGCTAAATGGGATTCAGCAATACAGAACGTTTGTCATCATGTAGAAGAGATCGTGAATGCCATTGGGATCAAGTATCCTCACTTGGTACAAAAGACTACCTTCCAATGAGAAATCGATTAATATAAAGAATATTAAAAGGGGTAAAGGATACCTTCTGTAAATTAATAGTAATACATAAGATAATCAATAATCGTTTCAAATGAGAATATGCATACGTTGTGTCACATGATAGAAGCATGCGATTCATTGTAAAAAAAATGGATATTTATCATTTACAATTCATTTAGAAAAAAATTATAATGTAATCGATATACGAGAAAGCGGTGCAACGGAGTTGTATTACACAATACCTTTTCTAAAATCAATATATAATTCATTAGATAAAGATATATTTGCGCCTTTATACTTTCACTACCCCCAACCTTTTATCTCGAAAATCAAAAACCGCTCGCTGGCGAGACGTCTTTCCACCCGCCAACTGTTGCCTTCATCTTAAAATTTACCATTCACCTTCAAAAGGTTAACGGCTTAAAGAACACCAAAAGAAAGAAAGAAAATTGCAAAGTTTTTGTAACAATCGCGTGTTCTCCACAAACCGACTAATCTTTCTTTTAAAAGCAGACTGAAAAACTTTAGTTTAGCTATATATCGGTCGAATTTTCTCTTAAGAAGTTTACCAGCATTTAATCCACTCTCCAGCTCCAAAGTTGCGTAGTTACATACACTCAGCTTTGGAAAAAAGCGGTAGTTATTTTAAATATGAATAGGGGAGGAATCAAACGTGCTCCCAGCTTAAATCAGCTTCCAAATGTTGGCTCGCTCTCCATTACTACGAATGAAACGCCAACTCCAACAGGCGCTAACACGTTAAATAGACCTGCCCAAGCGTCACAATCATTATATCAGTTATGTTTAGAACTGTCAGAACGACTATATTGTGTAGATGGCTTTGAAGAATACCTGCAGCAGGCACAAAGCAATATACAGAATAATAACACTAATAGTAACACTACTGGAATTGGAACACCAACTTCTGAAGCTCCGAATGGGCTTATTCAGAGTGATCCTGTTACACTATTATGGCAAACATTTCGTTTAGGATATCCATTGTGCGCTTTATATAATACCATGAAACCGGCGACGCCAATATCGGACGAGTTTACTCAACCACCTAACTCATCTAAACCCAGTATCTCTCATGCAAAACAAAGTGTTTACAAATTTTTAGTCTCTTGTAAAGAAGAACTCGAATTCAAAGAGGAATCAATGTTTGGGATTTCTGCACTATTTAAAGATGATACAAATGATTTTGTCAAAGTATATTTTTTTTTATTTTTTGGATGGTGGGTGGGGTTGAGATTGATCAATGAATTGAGATGACATGTAGATAAAAAAAATTGGGGAAAGGAATTATTACGTTAAAGAAAATCGAATAGTTGACAATAATAAATTTTCATTTATAACTTAAATATATAAGGTAATTAATACGGTCAAACGTGTAACTGATAAAATTGAAGAAAAGGGTCTCTTGAATTTATCCAGGCGGCAACTTTCACGAAGTTCTGATCCAATGGCACCAAAAGATAATCGTGCACGAGTTGTTCATGAATTGTTGGAAACAGAAAGGAAATATGTACAGGATATGGAAGTGTTACAGGTATTACACTATTATTTATAGAATGATAGATATACTTGATGATTAATGTAAAATGAATTGTATCTTATATTATATATATATATATATTTGTATTGTGTAGGATTATGCAAGAAAACTTGCAAATCAAGAGGTTGTTAATGCAGATACAATCCATCATCTTTTTGCCAATCTTAATCAATTGGTAGATTTTCAACGTCGTTTTCTTATTGGCGTGGAATCTAATGCTAGTTTACCATCTTCAGAACAAAGATTTGGCTTCTTGTTTGTGTCAATGGTTAGTATTTCTTTTTATAAATGTTTTCTACTTTTTCTACTATTCATAACTTTTATGACCACATATAGGAAGAGAATTTCGAAGTATATCAGCCATTCTGTGCAAATTATCAATATGCATCAGATTTGGTTATTCAAGAACGCCAGAATCTTATGGTATGAATGGAAAAATATTTACAACCTCAAAACTTGAGATTATTAATTTTCTTTGAAATTTATTCAATAATATAGCAATTAAAAGATGTGGTAGAACCGACATACGAACTTCCATCCTTATTAATCAAGCCTATTCAACGTATTTGCAAATATCCTTTGTTATTACAGGTATGTCAAACTTGATTTATATTTAAGAATTTAGTCAGTTTAAACGCTAAATTCATCATTTTTAATTAACACAGGAATTATTAAAATGCACTGAAAAAAATGAAAATCCTTATTACGATGAAATTGAACAAGGATTAAACGCAATTAAACGAGTAACCGATCGAGTGAATGAAACTCGGCGGAAACAAGAGAATGAAGCGGTAGTAAAAGACCTTGAACGTCGAGTTGAAGATTGGAAGGGTCACAAAATCTCCGATTTTGGATCTCTATTACTCGAAGATGTGTTTATAATGTCAAAAGATGATTCAGAACGTGAATATCATGTGTATCTATTTGAAAGGATTCTTCTCTGTTGCAAAGAAACTGCTAAGCAAAATCCAAGAAGCACCATAATCAAAAATAATCGGAGACAAAAAAGAGCAAGTCTTCAGCTCAAAGGGCGGATTTTTATACACAATATTACGGCTGTTGTTAATAATAGTCGTTCTGGATGTAAGAACAAGCAAATAAACCTTTTTAATAATTTTAAGTTTATTTCTTTTTAATTCCTTTTACATATTTAATGTTTCTCGATCCCTTTATTTTAGTGTGGTCAATAAAAGTATTCTGGCGTGGTGATACAGAAATGGAATCATTCTCATTAAAATGTCGAAATGATGAGCAGCTCAAACAATGGCATGCTGCCTTGGAAAAATTATTTGCTGATTCATCAGCAAATGGCTCATCAAGAGGATCATTTGACACAATTTCTTACAAACGTCCTAGCGTTTCCAATACCCAATTAGCTTCATTACAGAATCTTGTATCACCTCCATTCTCAAGACGAAACCTCGATGATGATAACGTATCGTTCATTGATGAAGAGGAAGATGATGATGACAATTATGAAGAGGAGGAAGATGATTACATCGAGGATTTTGCCGTCAAGCAATCCCGAAGTCAATCATTACCTTACGGCCAACTGCCTCGAAAAACACGAGGCGATGAAAATATATCAACCTCTTATAATTGGAGGTCAAATACTCCACCTTTACCTAATTTACCCCCGCAACAATATCAACAACAAATAAATCATCATTTACCTCGACATCCTAATATGTCAATGCCACCTTTACCCCGTAATGGATCAACGACGGCACCTCCTACAATGGCCTCTTTCCCATCGAGTGCTGTTCTACCAAATGAGCAAGGCGTAACAACACCTAATATATCTTATAATTATTTTCCGAATTCCCCTCCCCCCTCAAATCCTGCTTCACCGCCACAATCCACGCGTAGTAGTACTAGTACGGGATCTCATTCGCTTAGTATATGGCAACGTAGAAGCATTGAGCATCCATCAACACCTCTTGCTGATACTATTGCTAAATTCATGATGGCAGAGGATGATGATTATAATACACCTCCGCCGCCAATTCAACGAGCATTATCACATAGTGCTGCTTCTGGCCAGACATTTCAACAAGTTAGCGGACCTCCACCAATACAACAACAAAATGTTGTTGGCAATATTCAAAACAATTCTATGCGAAAGCGATCTCAAAGTAATCCAAATATTCATGCTATCCCTGAAACTTCTTGGGATAATGAATTTTTGCCTGACTTGCCTAATAATGGAAACATATCACAATCAAACAGTAATGAATTTCGTTCATTAGATGCTCAACAACGTCATAGTGGCTCAAGTACTTCGTCACAACAATCTGTTGAGACTTCGACAGCCAGTCCAACCGGTAGTGCTTCTTCACATTCCCTTATATCACCGACTTCTAATGGTTCAGTTAATGGAAATCATTTCCCCACAAATATTGGACTCGGTATCTCCATGAAAATTAAAGTTAATTATTCTGGAGAAATTTTTGTTATTGTTGTTGCTCAAGAAATTGAATATCGAGACTTATGTGATCGTATTGATCGTAAGATCAGATTATACACAACTGGCCGAGATGATAGCATCCCAATACGTATAAAGTATCAGGATGAAGATGGGGATCATGTTACCATTAATTCTGACGAAGATGTGCAAATGGCATTCGAGGGGCGGCTAGCTGCCGGAGGAAATTTTGTAAATTTGTATGTTAGTTAAAAAAAAATAAACTTTTCTTTTTGTAAAAAAAAAATAGCGAGAAAGAGTGAAGCTGAGAAGGTAGGGAGGTGTAAGAAGAAAAATAAATAATAATCGAACAATTGGACAAAGGAAAGATAACCCCAGAAAAGGAGGACTGCTAATTAGAGACACTACTAAACGCAAATTTTTGCGGAGCGAGGGATCATTATTTGGTCAAAGAAAAAAAGATATCTTAGCAAGATCTGGGTTTAATTCGAGGATGATGCTTTATGAAGTGGGCATTAAAGACTATATCGTAATGTTTCTAAAGATAGCTTTGGGCGTGGGCTATCTTTTCAAAACCTTTAATAAAAAAATGACGAGGAGGCTATTCGAAAACTTCATCTATTTATTTTTATCATCTTAAATTATCTAGCCCCCAATAATTCTGTTTATATGTTATAACTTTATAATTATTATACCAAGCCGAAAATCAATCTTATATCATTATCATTTGACATCAAGATTTCCATCACACTCAAATCGACTTTGTATTCTTCAAATCCATGCACACATGAAATGAAAAACCATTTGTCTTTCTTTTTTTCTATTTGTAAAATTCTGGTTTTTTTGTATACTTAATTATTGTTATCGAACAAAAAAAAATTCTCACAAATATATTATTTGTTTAAGCATACATAATACTTTAATATTTAAAGCAAAAGCACGATCAAACTGGCGAAAATAAAAATAAATTTATTTCATCATAACGATAATATCGAATATATTATTGATCTACTGTCATCATGTATCACTTAAAGACACAGTTATCATGCAATATCGATATCGATATATCAGAAATGAAATTAACCCCCTTTATTACTTACTATCTGTCATTTCTTTCAATATAACGATAATAAAATAATGAGTCGAACACCCTCAATACTTGATATACAAAAAACCTTAAAAAGAACAGATATAGCCGCACGACAAAAAGATAAATGGCGCGATCGTTTGAGCAAACAACAACTACTCGTACTAAATCTTTCTTCGAAAGAGCAGAAACGACAAGAAATTATTAATGAGATTGTTCTTACAGAAAAAGAATATTTAAATGATTTGAAGCTGGTTCATAAGGTTTGTTTGAATTACATATTTCTACTTTTAATTCTTTTGATTTCACCATAGTTTTTTTGATAGAATTTCAATAAGATGACAGTTGATAAAGAAAGTGGAATATATGTCCCTATAGAAATCGTGCGGATGTTTAGCAATATTGCAGATATGATTCGATTGCATGATCATCTTTATATGGTGTGTGATCTTTTTTAGTAGGGATGTGACCTTGATCTATGCAAATACAAATGTTTCTTCTTTAAGGCTAACTTATCGTCATGCAGTCTTTGCAAACTAGGCAGAATATGCAACACCCGGTTGTGCAATGTATATCTGAAGTATTTCTTCCTTTTGTAAGAATATTTTTGATTACAATATCATGGATTTAATTTCTATAGAACTATATATAATAAATAGATTTCTTTAAAGGTTGAAAGATTCAATATCTATGCGGCATATTTAGTTAACTACACCAGCGCTACGCAGCAAATCGATAAAATGATCCAAAATCAAACTGAATACGGTACCTTTCTAAAGGTTAGTAAGTGATTCTGATCAGAGGATACGATTTCAATGAATATGTGAATTGGCTTGAGTAATTTCTAAGAAGACGGGTTTCTTTTTTGTTTTTTAAAGGAGCGAGAAAGATTACCAGATTGTCGTAAATTGCCTTTACAAGCATTCTTAATTGCCCCAGGTGATTATTAAATTTACTATTTGGCATGGCTAATGTAGATTTAACGCAGTATTAATAACAGTTTGAGAATTTCTCAAAAGTTCAACGTCTAGCTAAATATCCTTTATTATTTAAGGTAGGAGAATAATGTGTTTTTATATTATTTTGAGAGATTAGCAGTGTACAGTTTAATAATAATTATGATTTATAGGGATTGTTGGACGTTACTTCTCAGGATAGCCCTGATTATGATAATACTTGTCAATTATACAAGCAAATGGATTCTTTAATACGGCAATTAGAAGATGAGAAACGTAAAGAAGATACACTTGACAGACTTACGAAATTAGAGTTGACGATGAAAGGACTAACGGTATTTGTTATTTCAATTATCTAAACATATTCGGACTTAATCAATATTCACAGATTTACTTAAATAGCCGTTTAAGCTCGCAATACCGAATCGTCAACTGATATATGAAGGTGTTTTAAAACGTCTAATAATACCTACAACAAAACAACATTCTTCCGGATTATCACCCCATTTTCCATTAATCTCATCCGGGAATGAAAGCTCGATCTCTTTATATGTTTTCCTATTTGATGACCTGGTGTTGTGGACACAAAAACGAAAACAAAAGAATCAGAAACAAGAAAAAGATGTTTATAAATTATTGGTTCCGCCTGCAAAGATTACACACGTGATGGAAATACCGGATGATCGAGGTTTTTATTATCACAACGAATTATTTGCTCCTTTTTTTTAGCTCCTCTTCTTGTTAATTATATAATTATTATTTTAGGATATTCGAATTTATTTGAGTGCACTTCGATTCACAATGGTCGCGCAACTTTTATCTTACAGGCAAGTAACAAAAAAGAGAAATCTCAATGGATAACTATGATTCGAAGTGTACTCAAAAAACATACGAATCGTAATAGTGGTGATCTTCATGATCAATGGTGGTTCTATTATCACATTAAAGAGGAGAGTCGTAAAAGTATGGATGATAACAACGACTCGCCAAATCCGGAAATTTCGTTTTAATTCCTATCTTTAGATTTTTTAATTTATTTTTATTGTATATATGTAATATACGCATTATTTTAATTATTTATTTAATTGTTTATTTAATCTTAGTTCTTTAGTTTTGGGTGTTATGTCTAACTCGGATGGATTGTAACATCAATAATAATATAAGAATGTTTAATGATAACAAATTTTGTAGTGGTAGCGCCAAACATACCAATTCGCATTGTATTAAACTCTGCACCAGATTCTCGTAATTCTTGTTGCACTTCTGGTTGTTGATGAAAATTAGTTGGTAAATTTGTACTTTCAATTCCATTTGCATATTGTGTAAGTTATTCACAGAAAGAAGTGTTAGAATAAGCAAATACGATCCAGATCCTCTTACAATTACTCCACTCTAACTCTTTACCGTTTTCCCGAATATGTTGAGGTGCCCCAACGAGGCGGTTCGAATAGCATTTTTTCCTCTTCTAAGTTTTGGATTTCCGTCCAAAAATTGGTCACTATTGAAGATTTTTTTTCCGCCTTAAAGAAAAATAAGCGTCAATATCTTAAAATGCATACATCATTGTGTAATGTGCTGTAACTGACTAAACTTCATCTGGACACAAGAACAACCGAAGATGCTCTTGCTAGATAAAGCCCAAACCTCAGTTTATCATAAGAGCAACCGAAGATGCTCTTACTCGGTAAAAGCCATAACTTATATTACTCGAACCGAAGATCATCACAAGAGCAACCGAAGATACTCTTGCTAGAGTAATATAAGAATGTCACAGCACCAAGAAAAACTAACCTCAAACGCGTCCAAAGCACTTTGTACGTTGACTCCGAGTTCATGATCGCTCTTAAGTTTATGTAGTGTAGCACAATAGGAACTATTTTCGACTTGAATTTCTTTCACGAAAGAAGCTTGCTCCCTTCTCTGTATCAGGTACTCGTAAAGATAATTGTCACATTTACTTCTGAATACGGCTCTGGCAACGACTTCTCTGTATTTGCATTCATAACTTCCGCATAGTTTTTGTTAATATTGACAGGATCAATGTAATGATAAATCCGGTAACACAAAATCCGATTAGCCTATCATCTCGTGATTGATGAGTGATGGACTAGATCTAATTTAACCGAATATCTGTTTTCACCCGAACAATCGAATAAAAATGAATCTGATATTTATTATAATATACTTGCTATAAATTGCTATAAGTTTTTAAAATCGCTAAAACGCTATAAATCACTAAAACAGCTATAAATTGCTATAAAGTCCCTATATCCGTAAAATGGTTAAATCTAACAACTATAATGGTTTGAATCCTGTAATTGTGCAGGCGTTAAACAACCTACAATATAGGTATAGTGATGAGACGCCAGAAATGTGGTGTTCTCGTGTTCGTTATCCATTTAAGAAACTTCTTGAATATAACCCAAAATACTTTTCGAAGAATGGATTTATCCAAATGGTTGAAAGGGTATATATAGATGGGGAATTTAAAGCTGGGAGACGCTCATTTAATATTTATTGCACTGTATGCGACTCCTTGGTGTTTATCTGTGAATAAACATCTAAATGAATGCATTTCTAAAACAGCAACAAGACATCTTGCATATTCTAAACCTGTGAAAAAAAAAGTATCATCAGAATTAAGCGATGATGAAATTGGTGAGATTTATGATATTATTTATTTTAGATACAGAAAAAGCTCTGAATTTTATTATCCTTATGCTTCAAAAGAAATTAAGAAAAGTGTTGTATATCGATTAATTAATAGTGCAAAAGTTATCCAATGGACTTGGAGAGCTTTCAAGTTGAGACCCAAATCTTTGGCAAAACAAGTTTGGGAGGCAGTGAGGAATGATAGGACTCCTGATAGGAAGAGATTTTTAGGTATACTTTCAATTCCTCAAATGAAAATAAATCCTAAAACTCAAGAACATGCTTTACATGTCGATGAATATCTTGATATGCTTAAAAAAACAAATAGTTATCAATACTTTATTGATAATCATAATCTAGCCGAGCGGATGGTGTATAAGGAATATATCAATTATTGTCCTAGTCTTTGGATAGAAAAAAAGAAATCTCAGTTAAGTGGTCGACTAGATAAAGAAGCACATTATCTTGTTAAGGAAAAATTAGAACAAAAAGGTTACAGACAAGCTTATATTTCATGATGTGGGCTTGAATTATTTATCTTTCATGGAGATATATGATAGATTCGTTACAGGATCCTGAAAATTATCTTACTAGAAAATTCGATGGATATTTCGTCAAAATAAAATAATATATATGTCCCTGCCACCAGAGTTGGGATTTCTAATTTTTTGACTCAGACACTTTTTAAGTCTCGCGAACTATAGTTGTCAGAAAAACAATGTCTGGACAACATTTCTCAGGATTTAAGTGAGGAGGATACATTAAAAAAAACGCATGAGCTAAGAACTCGAAAAAATGTTATTTACCAGTATCCAAACGAATTTGGAAATTATAGGGTACTATAACGATTTGTATAGTCGTGAGGCTAAGTCCCAGTTGCCAATTTAGATGTAATAGTGCGACCCTTTGTCCTAACCTTTTTCATTTCAATATTTACTTTCTTAAACATCTCCAGAATCTTGTGAAATAATAAGTGATTGGCTAGGAGACGATTCCCTAAAGGAATCAGGTGATATATCTATTGTATCTTTTAGTCTCCACCTACTATTTCCGATAAATCATCAGAAACACGAATAGACTTAGACCCCGATGCTTTCTTTTTCTGCTTATCCTGCGGTTTGTTTAAACAAACAGACTCATGTACTGGAGATGAATCGGAGGTACGAAGTTTTGCTTTTTTGTCTGTACTAAGAATTTCTGCCAATTCATATTTTTTACTCTGTTGTGACCGTTCACAATTGTTCCATATATCATGGACGCGCTCTTTACGTATATGATAATCCCTCACTATCATATATGTGGGAACCTTATTTTTGAGATGCCTAATTTCTTCGATTTGCTCAGGCGTCAAATCAGTGGCGCCTCGTCGATAATGAGTTTGTAAAAATGGGTTGGCCATGTAATTCTTCCAGTAATTTTATAACAAATAAAAAACGAAAGAAAACGATATTTATTATTTTTAAACGATAGAAAACGATATAAAACGTTGCAAAACGATGCAGAATGATATTTATCGTATTTATAACATTAAAAAACAATAAAAAACGATGGAAACTGATATTTATTATTTTATATCGATAAAAAACACTACCCTCAAATTCTGTGACTAAAATTTCAATTGAGAGTCTCAGCCAAAATAACCATAGGAAGAAAACAAAGAGTGAATTTTTAGTTACGCTTATCTTTTTTTTTCTTGCTTCATAACCAGGCGTAAAATATGAGAAATGTGCATACCTTGAAAGATATTGGTTCAGGCCATCGCCTGGGTAGTGCTCGTGAAATGGAACTTGAGATGTTGCGCAACAGTATCAAATCCATTTCCGAATATAATGACATGCAGGGGGTGTATTAAAGCTATAGTAAATGATCGAGACAAAGCCAAATTGAACCGTAATCTAGAACAAGCCGAGACCAATAATAGGAAACTCTCCGACCGCATCCATCAGCTTATCGATGAAATGTCATAACTGCGATCAGAGATGGATTCTCTAAATTTTCAGATTACTCGCAAAGATATTTCTCTTGCAGAATCCAAGGACAAACTCGTTACAAAATCGAAAGAGATAAAAGCCCTCCAATCCAAGTTGAAAACATCGGAGAAGAATTCTTCCTTAGCTCAAATGAACTTATCTGAAATGGATTCCCTCAGGCTTGAATTGGAACAGGCGAGGGGTGATTTGTCTTCAAAAAAATACGAATTGGAATGTCTAGAAAAGGGGGTGGAGAAGAAAGATAACATATATAAACGGGCGTTAGACTCTCTGTCTTCGGCACGATTAAATTTAACGGAGGAAAATTCTCGTCTCCGAGAGATAATCTCAAAAAAAGATAATGAAATAGTAGATCTCTCTAATCCCCCACCTCCGCCTATGAACGATTCGTCGCAAAAGCTACCAGGTTGGCTCAGTGATGATCTAAGACCCCTCGTCCATAAGCATGGTCTTGAAGATAAAGTTATGGAATTCGATAAAAGTTTTGCCAGGGAAAATATATTAGAGGCTTTGCAAGAGCTATTACCTCCGGATGAGATGATTTCGAGAAGCGGTCGGTCCACCGAAGGGAGGGACCCCATCAGTCAGGCAGATACCTTACCTAATCAATCCGTTCATAATCGACCAGCACATTTCGAAAATTCTATTTCGAGGGAAGGGGTTGCGAAGCAATCAGGTGGCGCAGAAGTAATACCTCTAACACCAGCTATCCCTGTCGTTGCGAGCTATTTATTGCAATTATATGGCTCGTGGTTGGGAAAAAAATATGGAATTCGTTGAAAAAAAGTAATACCCAGTATTCTCCTAACCAGAACTATTTTTTATCATCTCCAAGGCCGGGCTATATCGGAAGTTCGAAGATAGAAATTGAAGTTAGCCGGTATTATTGCACGAGAAAAAAATATATAAATAATATTATAAGTATTCTAGCGGAGGTGTGGCAATTTCAGCTAAGAGTACTTATCCATATAATTCGATGATCTCGTCTATATCCGCTTCGGACGAATCATCTTTTTTATCATCCTGTAACTTTGATAACACTCGATAGCGTGTAATTTCTAGGCCAACTACTTTGTACTATGTGTTTCGCAAATCAGCTAGTAATTTGCACTCATCCGAATAATATAATAAATATTGTTCTATGGTCATGGCTTTTGATTTGCGCTTACTGGTCTTAGTAACTAGTTATACATTTCTTCTTTGTACCATACATCGATCTTAGAAATTTCTTTGAGCAATGATGAAAGCTTTAAGTGGATGGATTCTTTTAGCTTATCTAGTGCATTGAGGAAGGAAGTGTAATAACCAACATTACCCGAGCATTTTACTACTTTACCAGCATAATTGATATCAAATAAATTTTCCGCGTAAGTGCAAGCTTCTTTCCATAGATGGGATATGATAGTCTCATCTTTTTTTGGACCATCACGTAGCTCTTTGATATACCTCTTAACCCATTGTTCAGCTGATTTTTGCGCTAAAAAATCTTTCATATTTGATGCCTCGTCTTCATCCGGACCTTTGCCATCATCCACTTCGTCTTCATCCACTTCGTCTTCATCCGCTTCATTATCATCTTTTAACTTTTTTAAGGCTTCCAGCAAAATTTCAGATGATGGCTGGTATCTATCATCATAATTTATAAAACGTGCACAGAGCCCGATAACAGTTTTCAGATAATAGCCAATATCGATATTTTTATCAAGACGTCTTGCCACTTCTGGGTACTCCATTTTGTCACCTACCTTCTGTGATAAATCATTCTCAACTACAACATATTCAAAGCGTTCACCTGGTTCTGGAATTTGATAAAGATAAGGCTCGGGTGTTAGGCCCTTTTTTATGAGCCGTTTGGTGTATTCGTGAAATGAAGCGCTGTACACTCTTGTTATTTTTATCGGGCTTCCACACAGCAGTTTTAATTATTTCATTAAGATCTGTTTGCGAAATATCCTTTACAGTTTCTTTGAGCACGTCCTCTGCAATCTGCGTGTATTGTTTACTCTCGTAGATTCTTCCATAATACGTTTTCCTGTTTTGCGGAAAAGACTAGACCGTCCCCGTTTTACAGTCTCAACTCCCCGGATGAAAAGCTTGTTATTAAAGTTTGGCTTGCTTATATGTGGAATGCCGTAGTATTTTTTCTTCCCAGTAAATACTACTGGAAACAAAACTTCCTCATATGCCATTTTGAGATAAGGGGATCCGTTATCTTTCCTGAGGAAGCCATTAACTTCGTCGCGGAGTTTCTCTATTTCTTCCATGGAAATTTTTACCATTCGAGACCAATATTCTTTTGGGATTCCATTACCATAGTCATATAGCTCATTGCATTCCTGAAAACACTCTTCTGGGCAGACAAGGTATAAGGAATCAGTGTCCTCATATTTTTGTTGGAAACCCTTGCTTTTAACGAAATCTGCAACAAGTTTAATGTTTATCTGTCCAGCCGATGTGACGCCCCCAGCCAGTTCTCGCAAGAAGAAAGGGGATTTGCTATCTCCAGTGGTGCCATAAAATGAATTCATGTATACTTTAAGAGCGCTTTGTTTCGCATCTAAGCAGGAACAGTCAAAACAAACTGAATCATATTCTGCCATGAATTCATGCTTTTCTTTATTAATAAAATGATATAAATCCTCGCTAAGGCTGGCACGTTTTTTTTTCTCTACATTTGCTAAAACCTGCTTGATAGCTCTCGGTAATGATAAACCTTTATCCATTAAACCAGTTACCAGATCCATGTTTTCCTTTTTCACTTTCAAAGGAGCGAGACGTTTCTTCACCTCATTCCGTTTACCAGATAAATATTCTAACACATTGGTATAAAGCCCTTTTTCTTCGGGAATGTTATTATGCTGAATAGACCATGCGAGAATATTTCGATTTTTGAATTTAAAACTAATTTTGTAGAGCTTTTTACCGCTTTGTTCAGCACGCTCTCGAGATAATATGATTTTATCAGGCGAGAGGTTGTATGTCATGATAAGGCTCGGGTACAAGGACGCGAAGTCCAAACCTGTGACAGGACGTTTATTTTCGAGACCTTTCTCTGGCGAGAAGACATAAGCCCCAGGATATTTTTCAGTTTCAGCATCCCCTTTTGATATTGTACTTGTTAGAACTCCTTCCCGCCACGCACTAGCGCATACGAGATTACACACTTTCATTCCTATTGCAAAATAATGCGCATCAAACAATGACAGAAAAGATATGCTTGCAACCTCCCTATATTCGTTAATTACATTGCGCTTGACCATTAACCGCTGGCAACTAAGAGCAGTATTTGACCACTTCACGCATCTGTTCGGCCTTTGTGACATTTGTTTCTTTTAATGCCCTTTCATAATATTCGTTCATGTGGCGAATAGGTAAATCCACTTTGTTGTCAAGATTACACTCCCTTAAGTAATATGCGAGACTACTTTTTTGGCTTTAGAATAGAATCCCTTAAAACAGGGCCGGACATCAATAGCCACACAGCCGGGAATTTTAAGATGTTTCGAATGGAATTTTCCATCATTTACTTTTATCATATTATATCGATATTCCCATTTATAATTTTTTCCAGGCTCGATGGCTTGAATAACATATGATTGAACATCCATTCGAGAACCCCTAATTTATTAGCTTTCTCCACAATAAATTTCCAGTCGTATTGTGAATCATTAAAGCCTATTTGTATATCTGGGGCTAAGAGTTTCCAACACAATGCGAATGCTTTTAGTAAATTGGTCTGGGATCCACATACGATTGTAATCCATCGCGGGTCTGGCGCCGTTTCAACATCGACAAGACAGATTTGTTTTAACGGTTCGGGATCATCTTTCCAATGAACTGTCATACAAATCATGAACACAACGTCTTCTTCGTATTTTGCATTAGGTACCTCACCTGTTTTTCGTGAGCTATATGTTTCGATATCCCACGTGAGAACAAGGGTGCGATCCCGTGAAAGCGCCGAGGAAAATAATAGATTATTATAATCGTCTTCACTTATTGGATTGTAATTATTCACAGATACTTGGAAAAAATAAGTACCCTCCTGAATGTGTTTGTATAAATAATTACTTAATACTGCCCAACTCGAAAGAGGTAATCTTTCTTCACGGGCTACTTTGCGATAATAATACTGGCAATTTAGATCATTCGAAGCTGTACACATACCAACAGCGCGAACTGCTTTTAATGCATTATACCGGTCGTAGTGGTTCCATGTTCTTACACGGATATATGGTTTCTTTTCTGTATGGTACTCTTGAAGTGGGTAAGCGCTAATAGTCTCGATCCCAAACTTTGATGTGCTATTGAGAATATTAGATAGTATCCTTACTAATTTGGTCTTAAATATAGATAACGGCATCTCTTCAGGCACTTCGACATCAAAGAAGAGTCGGATGCCTGTAATATTCACGACTGCCTTTTGCCCGTTAATCAAAGAACCGGTGATACGCAAAATATAGGCGGAGATCCCATTTATATATTTGGTATCATCACTAACTTCAGTAGGCATGAAATGTATGGGTTGCTTGCTGGATAGGCTTTGTTGAAGTATAGCAGTCATCCCGTTATCATATTCTGCTACGATCTCATTACGTGATGGAATGCTGGCTAAAGAGCCGGCGTCGTCGTAGCGGGCGAGAGGGCCGGTTCCAGTGCGATCAGTTTGGTCGGAAATAGTTGAGGTATACATGTCGTTAGTTTGAAAATGTTTATATTACTTTATAAAATTCGAAAATGTTTAATTATTTTTTTCGATAGTTGCAAAAAAGAAGTGATAGCGAACTTAATAGGCAAATTGTAAAAGAAAGGCAACCAGATGCATCTGAAAAAGTGAAGCCTTTTTCGGAAATATTATATATAAAATTGGAAGAAGACTTCACTTTTCTAGATATGTACTCAGGTATGGTGAAGGCTTCACGTAAGACTTATCCTTCCTAGATATGTACCCGGGTATGATATGAAGACTTCTTCGAAAATATTATATAAAATAATGGAAGAAGACTATCCCGATCTCGCTATCATGGCGCCAACTTGGATCCTTCAGATCATGTGTTCTAAAGATCGACCAGAAATTATGTCATAATGTCAGCCAAAATTAATCGCAAATTGCAAAAGAAAGGTAAACGAATATGCAACTGAAAATGAAGGCTTCTCCGTAATCATTATATAAAATATTGGGAGAAGCCTTCACTTTTCTAGATATGTACTCGGATATAGTATAGCCTTCGCGTAAGACTTATCCTCCCTAGATATGTACCCGGATATGATATAATGAAATATTGACACTTGGCTACTCTATCACTAGTATGAATTCAGGTAAGTGGCAACCGAATATACATCCAGAAGATAAGTTTTCTTCGGAATCTTTATAAAAAATAATGGAAGAAGACTTATTCTTGGTACTCGAGTATAGCATGAAGTCTTCTGCGTAATCATTATATAAAATATTGGCAATCAAATGGGCCGGTCATGATAATACATATCGCATCACCAATTCTCTAACCAATTGACCACCAAACCGGTCTTCGAAAGTTACTCGAAAGTGCCCGGAACTGGCGAGGAATTGAATCACATGATTAGCGCAGTAAGACGCAGTAAAATTTCGTTTAATTTTGGCCAACACTATTTCATATTTTTAGCCAGAACTTTGGATATAATAATTCGACACCCAAGCTGGCAAACTAATAAAACCTCTCTGGTTCCCTGCCAGTTCCACGACAGTTCCATGACGGTTCCATGACACATCATGGCGCCATCATGTTGCCAAGCTAGATCCTCGAATCACGTGTCCTAAAGATCAGCCTGAATTATCTCATAGTGCCGGCCGAAATTAATCGCAGATTTACATCGAATTACTGCGCCACCCGATACGATATTTTTTACACCATTTCAGCAATCAAAAACAGCTAGAATGGCGCCAATACCGACGCAACTTCTTAACAACAAAAAGGTTACAGAACCAGATAAGCACATGCAATAGCTCCTTAGCGATAAAAAAGTTATAGAGTAATATAAACAAATGGATAACTCTTTAATAATAAAAAAACTCGCAAAATCAAGCCAACGCAAAGTTAGTTTCTCAATAATGAAAGAATCGTAGACAACCAAGAAAATCATCACTATTAGATTATAAAATCACCATTAAATTATAACCTCTCCATCCACCATTAGATTATGATACTATAATTATATAACAGGAATTAACTAAAACAATAGTTAGAGAACAATAAAGAGATCTAAAAAAAAATCACCATTTAATTATGACACTAGATTATATTATCACCATTAGACTATGACATCACCATTAAATTATGACAATAGACTATGACATCACCACTAGATTATAACATCACCATTAGATTATGACATCATCATTAGATTATGATATCACCATTAGATTATAACACCACTATTAAACTATGATACCACCATTAGATTATGACATTATTGTCATAACCTAATCCAAATCACCAGTGACTAGCTACAATTTGATATAAGTTAGTTATTATTAATAATGATTATTCAAGAAGATATATAGAAAATTTAATAATTGTAAAAATAAAAATAATTTAGTTATTAAGTAAACTTTTAATTTTTACTAAATAGTATAATTGTACTTGGCACTTATAATTAAAGTTATAGCTCTTACTTAGGACTACAAATTGGTATATGATACTATATATTGATCTTTAATTGAACTCGAACCAGACTTGAACTTGCATAATAGTTCAGTTTGAGTTCAGTTCAAACTTCAAACTTTTCTTGAACTTAGCCAAAATCTGGTTCAAGTTCAGTTTGAATTTCAAATCAGATTTGAATTCAGACGAAAGTCCAGTTTGATTCAGTTCATAGAAATATTACTCAATCCTATAAAACATTTCTGAAATGCGATGAATATACATTTGAGAAGATTAGAAAATCCAGTTCATATTCAAGATGTGTTATGGGAAGCTATTCAAAAAATATGGATGAAAACAGATCATAACTTTTTAACTAGTCTAATTGAAAGTATGCCCGAATAAATAAATGATGTAATTGAGACTAAGGGAGAGTATACAGAATGGTAAAGAATAGTTTATTTAAATTTCGTAAATTTTTAGTCGTTAGTTATTTAAATATCGGTTTTAAATTATTTGCATCGTAAA